GCTTTGGGAGCCGTGAGCTTCAGAAAGGGCAAATTTTTATGCATCTAAAAATTATGATTTCCTTAAAACGTTGATAGAGGGTTACTACAACTACTACTACTCCTTTAAAAAAATAAAAATAAAAAGTGATAGTGAGTGCAGCAACTTGCCAAAAACATTACACCAAAAGCAAAGGGGGAAGAATTATACCCATGATCCTTAGTTATGATGTGAGAAAACAAAAAATATGTAAAACACTCTAAAAAGGTTTCTCTCCCAATTATTTAAATCATGGTTTTCTCACTGATGATGCCTGAAACCAACCTTTCCCTCTTCCCTGGGATGCCTGAAACTGACCTTTCCCTCTTCCATTGCTTGTGCACTGAGGTTTATTGGCTCTGCTCTGATAGTGCAGAAAAATTATTTCTAGGCTTCTAGCTAGAAGTGTTTCTACTCTGTTCTAGCATACACTTTTATTGTGCACTTATGCATTTTTCTTTGATTTAAAAATAATCTCTCCCAAAATGAAAAATTAATATAATTTTTTTGTTCTACACATTAAACCTTATCAAAATCTTTTAGCTAAAAGCTTAAATTTTTCGCTCATTTTTATCATAATATTTAAAGTGAGACAGAATATGTAAAATGTCAATAATTGTGGTAGGGGAGTGAGTAGCTTGATTGTTGCTAAAGGCCTGATGCTGGGAGGGGCTGAGACTCTCTTTACAATCAGGTTCAATAGTCAATAAATAGGAGCAGGAATAGGGATGAAATCCTGACCCTGTTGTAGTGAATGGGAGTTCGGCTATTGACTTCAATGGGGACCAGGGTTTCAGACACTGAGGCTACGTGTACAACACAGAGCCTATGCTTGCATAGCTGTGTTGGTTAATCCCCTAATATAGATGCAGTGTACACTCAAAGAAGGACTATTTCTACTAGTGCAGGAACACCACTGCCTCAAATGATGTTAGCTACCTTGACAGAAGCAGGGGCGGCTCTATGTATTTTGCTGCCCCAAGCACGACAGTCAGTCGGCTTTCGGTGGCATGCCTACGGGAGGTCCGCCGGTCCTGTGCCTTCGGTGTATCTGCTGCTGAAACCGCGGGACTGGCAGACCTCCCACAGGCATGCTGCCGAAGGTAGCCTGACTGCTGCCCTCACGGCAACCGGCACGCCACCCCCTGCGGCTTGCCGCCCAGGCACGCACTTGCTGTGCTGGTGCCTGGAGCCGCCCCTGGACAGAAGCACTCTTCTGTCAACAGAGCTGTGTCTACACTGGGTGTTTTGTGAGCATAGCTGTCAGACAGGGATGTGACTTTTTTCACAACCCTGACTGATGTAGCTATGCCGATATAAATTTTAAAAGTAGACCAAGCTCCAGTTGACTTTTCAAAGAGGCCTGGGTTCAGATCATTTTTCAGAATTATAGAAGTAGTAGTATTTTTTATGATTGCTTTAGTGTCTCCTATATGCTAGGCACTTCCCAAACACAAGATGCTGTTCCTGCCCCATAGGGCTCTCAGTTGGAAAAGACAAGGAAAGTATGAAGAGTTGGGAGACAGATAAAACATACGAAGGATTATTTGTTAAGTAGATACCATGTGTGCTCACTGGCCCTCTATTTAGCCATTATCTGTTGGCTAGATAAATCTGTTCTGGTTTCTTGTAGACATAACAGTAGAAGTTGGACCGAAGGAGAGATGTAAAACTGTTCCTCTTGGCGGGTTCTTTGGGAACTTCCTGATTTTTTTCACTCATCTTTGAGAAAACGTCCTGTGCTGTGGCCATAGCCGCTACTGGGTTTATGCTTTGGGAGGTGAATACAGCGCGTGGTTGGTTGTTTGATTTTTGTGTGTTTGTTTTTTATTTTGCCTGTATATAAGGAAACTTTCAAAATATTGTAGTCTTTGTAATAAGAAATGTCAGTGTTCGATTCTAATCTTTGGCTTTCTTATACTATGGGTATATCTATATTTTCATTTTACTGTGTTACAGATTTACTACGCTGATTAAACCTGAACAAGCTGGGACAAGTGGAAAGACTGCTTGTCTAGGTAAGTTTTCAGCACACACCCTTTTCTGTCTTTGATTGCAAAATATAAAAAGACATGATATTCAATTTCTCAAACCAAGTTGCCTTAATTTTGCTCTGGAGTAAAATAAATAAAATCAGCATCTATATTTGGCTCTGAATTTGAACATTCTTGTTGCTCTGGAATAGTTTGCATATCCTACTTGGTTGGGAGGCAATAGTAGCGACTGAATCTCTTTTTATTATGAAGAACCTATTATGAGTCATCAGTGTGATGCTGTTGCAAAGAAAGCAAACATGATTCCGGGATGTATTAACAGGTGTGTTGTGAGCAAGACACGAGAAGTCATTCTTCCGCTCTACTCTGCGCTGGTTAGGCTCAACTGGAGTATTGTGTCCAGTTCTGGGCACCGCATTTCAAGAAAGATGTGGAGAAATTGGAGAGGGTCCAGAGAAGAGCAACAAGAATGATTAAAGGTCTTGAGAACATGACCTATGAAGGAAGGCTGAAAGAATTGGGTTTGTTTAGTTTGGAAAAGAGAAGACTGAGAGGGGACATGACAGCAGTTTTCAGATATCTAAAAGGGTGTCATAAGGAGGAGGGAGAAAACTTGCTCACCTTAGCCTCGAAGGATAAAACAAGAAGCAATGGGCTTAAACTGCAGCAAGGGAGATTTAGGTTGGACATTAGGAAAAAGTTCCTAACTGTCAGGGTGGTTAAACACTGGAATAAATTGCCTAGGGAGGTTGTGGAATCGCCATCTCTGGAGATATTTAAGAGTAGGTTAGATAAATGTCTATCAGGGATGGTCTAGACAGTATTTGGTCCTGCCATGAGGGCAGGGGACTGGACTCGATGACCTCTTGAGGTCCCTTCCAGTCCTAGAATCTATGAATCTATGAAAACCTACTAAACAAATTAAATGTATTGGATGTTCATTCTTTCCTCATATTTTCCATGCTTTTATCTTCTCTAATTTTTCCATTTTCTTCTGTTCCTTTCTCATCTGTCTTTTCCCTTGCTTCAGCCTTTTTCATTTTCCTTCTTTAGTTATTCCCTCATGTCTTCCCCCTGCAAAATATCCTCTCACACATCCACTCTCAATCCTTTTTCTCCCTTTTGCTCTGCCACAATCATCCCTAATGCCCAGCAACAGTCCAGTGCTTACAAGGTGCAGGAGAGGTGGTGCAGGGGAGGAGAACAGAAGTATGGATGGCACTTCCAAGTCTAGGTCAGTAACTGCCTGCATATGGTAGCATGACAGCCAAGCTTCCTGTAGACTTGCCACTTGCAGCAGCGCTCAGAGTCTCAGACTCTGCTCACATCTGATTGTACAGCCTTGTCTGTGCTATGCAAACTTTCTAAAAACTTTCCACGATAATTAACACTTGTTTAGCTTCACTATATTAGGAGACTTGGTATAGGTGGGCTGCTGGCATCTTTAACATAGTGTCATAACTCTTCTCAGAGCAGCTCTAATCAACACTTGTTTGTTAATAATAATTAATAATAAAAGAATCAGCAGCAGCTGGTATCCCATCATACTAAGACTTCCAGTGATGCTAACACTAGTGGAGCTGAACAGATGTCAGCAATGATGGGAAACTTTAAGAAGATTTCCATAGAATAGGCAAGGGCCTATGTCTGAGGAAGAGATGGCTCATAGGGTTGCTGATAGTGAGATTTAATTGAGTGGGGATATGATCACTCGGTAAATCTGTGGCTGGTCCCTGAGGTGCGCACATGCTTCCCAGCTCACTGTCAGTTCCAAAAATTCAGTTATCTATCCAGTCTACTGGGGTTTACAAAAATCAAGACTAAACAATGTCTTCTGTAAAACCGACAGGAACTTTGTCAGTTTTCAGGGATACTTGGTTGCTCATTTATTTATAAAACCCTGAAACTGTGTGTTGTTAATTCACATAAGTACAGGGTGGGTGTGATCATGGTGGACAAGAGTCAGTTTGTCTGGTTTTCCTAAGGGGAAGTGGGTAGGCAGAAGTTGGCAAACGGTTTTTATGGGTACTATTTTTATTAGGGTACTATCTCGTGTGAAATCAAGCACTCAGATAATACAGTGATGAAGGCCATATAAAAACCTAGATACAATACGCATTATGGACCATACCTCCAAAACCAGCAGTGATGGCTGTTCTGGGGAGGCGGATGAGAGAGAGTAAGAGAGCATGCGCAGAAGCAGACATGTCAGACATCTGATCAATACCAGTTCAGCTTGAATAAAAATGTAGTGACCTGGACCATACTTCATTTTTCTGTGTGCTGCTCTGATGCGTGAATTTCAGGAAACAACGTCCCTGGTCCAGTGTTTTTAATGGTAATTTCTGAGCGTCATCTGCTACTTTGGATGGAGTTCTTCTCCCAATCCGACAAATGATGCTCTTTCTGGTCATAGGCGCCAACTTCTCCTGGCGCTGGTGGGTGCTCGCACCCCGACTCCACACCTGCCCTGCCCCCTTCTGCCCCTGCCCCACCCCCATTCCAACCTCTTCCCCAAAGTCCCCATCCCAACTCTGCCCCTTCCCTGCCCCTATTGGACCCCTTCCCCAAATCCCCACCTCCTCCCCTGAGTGTGCCACGTTCCCGCTCCTCCCCCCTCCCTCCCACAGCTTGTTACGGCAAGCCTGGGAGGAGAAGCAGGGACATGGCGTGCTCAGGGGAGGAGGCGGAGGTGAGCTGGGGAGGGGGGAAGAGCGGGGAGCTTGGCTGCTGGTCCACCAATTTTTCCCCGTGGGTGCTCCAGCCACGGAGCACCCACGGAGTCGGCGCCTATGCTTCTGGTTTGCTCATTCAGTTTACTGGCAGTCAGTCAGTTGCAGATGACTTCCTGATTTGTGTGCTAAAATAAATTTATTTTGTTTGACAGTCTTGAAATACAACACTTCTCTCTATATGGGTTTCTCTTCCTTGTCACAGCACCAATAAAATGGTCAAAAATAAAAGCTTTGATAAATTCATAAAACCTGGACTTTGAATTTATGTAGTGCCTTCCAAACAAGGCCCTTGAATACTTGACAAATAGCTTCCCGTCAGCCCTTTCAAGTGGATGTTATCCCTGTTTTACAGGTTAAAGAATTTGCCCAAGGTAACACACCCACAGTGTGGCGGAGCTGGAAACCGAACACAGATCTCCTGACTCCTACTCTGGTGTTTTGACCACGGGACCATCTCTGCCCTACATGTTGTACGGTAAGCTATTTTTGATAGAGAGAGAGACTTCTTTATAAATTAAAGTTGTTTATAGGTACTTTTAGATGACCGGAAAACTTTCCAATTGTCGATTAGGCTGACAGCACCATCTGGAGGGTAATTGGTATGTTCCTTAGAGAAAGATTTAGAGAAATCTCACTACAATTTGAGGAGTACGAATTGTTCTTATAAATGACATTTTGTTGATATTACCTGAATGAGATAATTTACAGTGGTTTCAAAGTAACTAGGTCTAGGGGTCAACTTTCACTTTGATACTTTTATTTACTGTAATGGTCTGAGTTTTCGGAATGAGATCAGTAAAAATGGAGGGGGAAAGACCTAATTTTCTCCACTATTTGCACCTCCACCAAACAGCTGTGCTTGACAGAATTGCACATGCCATTCATCCCCCAGACATGCTAAAGGACAGCTTGACCTTAAAAAGCCTAAATCACAGAAGTAGCTCCATTAGTCAGTGGGACTACTTGCATAAGAGCTACTCTTGGGAGTAAGGCTTTGAAGAATCCAGTCCTTAACTGAGTATCCAGTATGCTGAATCCTGTTGAGAAAATTGGAAGTAAATGTCTTATGCTTTCCTTCACTTCCTTACACCTGAGTAGGGTTTTTTATGCTATTCAGGAATACCGCCAAACTAAAAGACAGGTAAAAATGATGCTTAATTTTTTTAAATGTACTCACTCTGAATAATCTCTTGAAAGCAAGAATCTGAAATCTGTTTCCTTATAAAAAGGGATCTCTCTCACTGTGCACATGCACTGAACTGATTGACTTTGGAAAAGTTACTGTACCTCTGTGTGCCTCAGATTTTTCAATCTATAACATGGGGAACATGATACTTTTCCTTCATAAGTGTTTTGAGATCCACAAATGAAAAATGCGATACGAGAGTTAAGTGTTGTTGTACTATTTATTATGGAAGTGGTTGTGAAATGTATTAATATACATCAGAATCTAAGCAAGACGTAAACAGGGGTATTCCAGTCCCATGCTTAAACCACTGACTTCAACTCTCTTTTGTATAAAACCATATCTCAGTGCATTTATTTCCGTTTCACATTGCATACTGAAATTTACAGTCTTTTATACTGTACAGTATATATTATATTAGACTCAAAATCCTTTTGGGATAATCATAGGACATATGAAAAATAATTTGTGCATGTAAAATTTTTCTATGAAACAAAACGGAAAATCTTTAAAAGGTGCAAAACAGCAGGGATTTTCTAGAGCTTTTTTTATTTGACTATAAAAGCTTTACATTGAAAAGCATGCATTCAAAAAAAATCGGTCTACTCAATCCCCACTAGTAAACCATTGGCATTATTATTAATAATCCATTGTATTGGTGTAGCACCAAGAGTCTGGGAGGAGGGGTGAGGACAGCCCTGCTCTCACCCTGTTATATGGGGTAAAACAGCTGGAGTGACATGAAGGGGCTGTAGAAGTCCTGGCACAGGCAATGCAGAAGACAGCCAGAAGGCTACCTTCTGAAGACTCCACTGCAATCTCTGTGTTAGGGTGGGATCACAACATGCAGCGTAGTAGATTCTAGGCAGCACTGTGGCCCTTAAGACAACTAGGGAGGCTTCTGAAACTTAGGCCCCAAGGGCTGTCTTAAATTACTCTCTAGGACCTGTTTCAGAGTAGCAGCCATGTTAGTCTGTATCCGCAAAAAGAACAGGAGTACTTGTGGCACCTTAGAGAATTTGTTAGTCTCTAGGGTGTCACAAGTACTCCTGTTCTTTTTTTCTCTAGGACCTCTGTCCCCCAAAACAATGCAGGATCAGGAGGGCAGAAAGGTGGCTCAAGGCCACCTTAACTATTCCCTTCCCCAGGGCTGCGTGTTCTGGCACAGCACAGAATCTCACCCTTAAGCTCCATTGTGCTAGGAGCTGTACATTCATATAACAGACAATCCCCTCTCAAATAGCTCATAATCCAAGTGATTGTAAGGCATCTTGTTTTTTAATCCATGTTTTATTTTAGCATCATATCGTGTATTTCTCAATGAGGAACACAGTTTTTCTATTACACTAATCTCTTTAATGTAACTCAAAATAAAAATATAAAATAAAAGACTACAAATTCCAAGTATCAGTTTTGTTGATAGTCTGATACATCTGACTTATTTGCTATCCACTAGGTGTCACTCTTGTTCTAATATTAGGAAGGCAGTGAAAACCCTTGAGTTTACAAGGAAGTGAAAGAAGTAGAAGCCTATATAAGAGATAAACTATGTTTTAAGATTTTTTGTCTGCATTCATAATTAGAAATGAGGCTAGCTATGTGACAGCTGAGCAAGCCTGAATCTGATGTTCAACTCTGAAATAACAGAGGTTTCTTTGAGAGGATGCAAGAGATCTGTTAGCTGGGCGGGGAGTCATTATCAAACGTCCATAGCCTATAAAGACTGTTACACTGGTGACAGCGACTACGGTGGATGATGTCACACCAGGCGTGTGGTGAAGTTGCCAGATAGGAGTCAATCCTGTGAATCCATGAATCTCTGGGGTGGCCCCGTGGGTGGCGCCAGGAAGTGTCAGGGCATGCACCACTTCACGTGTTGATGGAGAGTGTGAAAGCATGGTATGCTGGGGTATTTTTGTCCATCCTGGCAACGTGGCTGAAGAGCAAGCAATGCTGCTTTTGGATATAACGAGGGCTTGAAGGAAGGCCAGATATTTGCAAAACTGTGACATTTCACACAAAGTCAAACTACTTTATGCTCAGGATTTGGTGCTGACAGCACATATGGAATGCCTCTAGCTGCTCCAAGTGTGCTTGTAGGAAGTGTGACACTGGAAGACTAGATGTCAGCTCATGCCAAGGCCCCTGGGCTTCACTGAATATTGACAAATGTATAGCTGGAAACCAGTCTGCTCAGTTGTGTGTGAGTACTGTTAAAATAGATTTTAGAGTTATAAGAATGTGTTGAGTCTTTATAAAATGCTTGTAGGATGCTGTATGTAGTTATCTTATAACTGGGATGCAGATATAAGTAAGATATCATTTAAGTGTTTGCAATTGTAAAAATGTTTGCTCAGGCTATAAACCCCCACAGTCAAGTGAGATACTAGTTTACCACATGAGGTGTCCAGGGCCGCCCGGGGGAGGGGGGGGCAAGTGGGGCAATTTGTCCCACGCCCCGCAGGGGCCCCCAATCGAATATAGTATTCTATAGTATTGCACTTTTTTTAATGGAAGGGGCCCCCGAAATTGCTTTGTCCCAGGCCCCCTGAATCCTCTGGGTGGCCCTGGAGGTGTCATCTTCTCCCCAACAAAAGAAGGTCAAACAAACAAGCCATTGTGGAACATCGGTAGACAAAAGACTTTGTTGATTGCTTCCCCCACACCCATGAAGAGGGTATGTGTGTACAAGCCCTCATCCCATCTCTGCTTGAACGCTGGGTGAGGGAATAAAGATCCCTGTCTAGGAGTAATTGTGATGACTATACTGCTTGTAATTTGGAGAGAGCAAAATTTTTAAGCATAAGCAAGGGATCCCCAAGCTGCTTGGCTTGGTTAGCCCTAAAGGACATACAGAGCTTGCATATTATACCAGCTAGTACAACCTTTTGGAACTTAAGACTTTATCTTATTTGTGTATATATGTTTACCTGCTTTAACCTTATAAATAATTATCTTACTACTTTTTCTTAATAAATCATTAGTATTATAGGATTGGCTACAAGAGTTATCTTTGGTTTGAGATCTGAGGTACAATTGATCTGGAGTAACCTGAATATTTTTGGACTAGGAGTCACCTGACTATTATTGTGATTTTTGTTGTAAGGGGCCATCTATCACAACAGCAGACTTACCTGGGTGGCAAGATAGACCAGAGTGCCCAGGAGGATTGTCTATGACTCCATGTTAAGGGTATTATAGTGCTTTAGGAGTTCACGCTTATTACTGGGTTGATGAAATCTAATTATAGAATTTAAAACCAGTTTGGGGTTTGCACCTTGTTCCTTGACAGTCTGCCCTGAGATTGGCATTCATGCTTGTGAGCTACTCAAGATAGCTTGACAGGAAGGTCCAGGGTTCTGACCCATATTGCAATACTGATAATACATGGGTTTGATAGATCCTAGACTTTGTTTCAGTGGAAAGACATTTTTTGCACCCATCTCTCTCACCTCTGCAGAGCAACAGTCTATAGATGCAGTTGTTTGTCCATAAGCCATATCAAGGCCTCCTCTGTTATACTGTGGATCTCATCCAATTCACCTTTCAATTCATATTTGGGTCACTGCATTATGATGTATTTGATGCTTTGGATGTTCTCACCGCAGTCACACGAAGGGGATTTTCCACTTGTGTATCAAGTAGCCTCATCTTCCATGGTTTGTTCAGATGCAGTTCAGTGTGGTCCAAAGTCTGTGTGGCATGTCAAAACCGGGAGGGTGGCTTTGCTGGGTAAGTAGCAATGTGTTTGTTTGAAATGGTTGATGAGGTTCCAGACACTTTGCCATTCCCTGGCCAGATCTAGAGACATGAGGTGGTCATGTGTGGTGCACAGTGGTTTTCATGATTTCAGGTGTTTTGGGGGCATGTTATCCATAACCAGTCAGATCGGAAGTTCTAGGTAGTCTTTGGCACGTTTAAGTTCTCATGCTGTGGCTATATCTCTGCAGATAGAGGGATGTTCAATGTTTGCTAATACAGAAAGTCACAGTAGAGGTGTTGATTTTAAAGTTCCCATGATGATTTTGCATGGTCTGATTCAGCTGCTCATCCACAAGTTGGGTATGGCAACTTCTTGTCTACACTTGTGCACAGTACTCTGCAACTCTGCCGAGACCAATGTTCATAGCACTGAGGCAGTTGATTCCCAGCTTGTTCCCACTAACTTCTGAATAATATTGATGCAAATCTTACCTTTAGAGGTTACTTTCTTGAGGTGGTCATGAAAGGTCAGTGAGCAGTCAAGAATGACACGGAGATATGTTAGTTTTGGGTCATAACAGTTTCAC